ATATATATATATATATATATATATATATACATTTTAACCCTTTCTCTACTTAATCTCTATCTTCTCCAACCCAGTTGTCGCTTCTAATTAGACCTCTCAAAACCTCCCATATAAACTACATATGCTTCTTTATCATTTGTCAAAGAGTACAACTTTGGAAACTTGTTTTTCAAACTACCTAACTTTGTCAAGTTATCATCGCAGAAGCTGAAGACCTCCCCATCACCAAGTTTGCATTCGACCTGCTCCTTGAACCATCCTTCATTATCTAATTCACCACTTAGAAGCAACACATATTTCCACCATTGTGATAATTTATTCTTTATTAATTTAGAAGTATAAACAGTCATTCACCATATTTAGAGTATAAAATTTTGGCCCAAAGAAACTCATTTTCCAACCTTAATCTCCACCTTTACTTACTAATAAGCACCTTATTGAAAACATTAATATTTTTGGCACACGTTTTCCAACCTTATTCATACCATCAATTTTTCACCCTCAACTGCACCCAAAATAAAAAAATCGCATTGAATCCTAGTAATTTTATTTGCAACACTTATGAACACATGGTAAAATGACAAAAAGAACAGGGAAATGGAAGATAGAGTTGAATTAATCAAGCATATTTGTTAGAAAAGATAATTGTATCCCATGATTCTTACTGTAAATATGGAAACTCTTATATCAGAATAGCTTAATTATAGGAACAGAATCATCAAATTAGATAACATATTTGTGTATATATTATCTTTGTTTCTGAATAAAATTACAACACAATTATTCCCAATTTCTCTTTTATTTTACATGGTACTAGAGCGGTAACGACCTGCTCTCCTTTTTTCCCTTGTTTTTTTCTCTCTCTTGTTTCTAAACCATTATGGCCAACGATGGGAACAAATCTGATCCCTCTATTCTCTTCACTATTCTAATCATCTTGGAATGGTTCTTGTTTCAAAAACTCTCAATGGTGATAATTATTCAACTTGGCATCGAGCCATTACCATCTCGTTAAATGCAAAATCTAAATTTGGTTTTGTTGATGGAACTCTCAAAGCACCATCTACCAAAACCAAACCAGAAGACTACGCAACATGGAAAAAATGCAATGATATGGTATTTTCATGGATTCTTAATTCATTTGTTGAAGATTGAAGAATCTACATCTGGAAGATGTTCCCTAGAAGTTTTAGTTTTGATGTTTTGCTCATGTTGCTTTTTATTTTAAGCCTATGTCAAAAGGATAATGTATTGATTGTTTAAAAGATTAGGCTTGTATGTGTTTGTTTGTTATGTGTTAAAAATTAGTAATTAACATGAAGGTGAAAATATCATAATACTCATTTTTCTTATTTCATTCATTGTTGAGAACATGAAGTATTAATTTACTGAGTGTTTGAGACTTTAAATGAAAACTTGAAAACATCAGAAATTTTCTGAGTTAAGGAATAGATTACCTGAACTGGTAATAGATTACCTGACTCATGTTGAAAAACTGATTGATACTGGAATAATCGATTACCATGTGTGGTAATAGATTACCAAACTGATTCTGATGATTTCAAGAGGAAAAAGGATCGTGTTAATCGATTATCTCTTTAAAGTAATCGATTACCTCTGTTCCAAATGTGAGTTTTGTGTTATTTTGGCATCGTGTTAATCGGTTACCATGTTAGGTAATAGATTAAAACAGGAGCTGAAACAATTAGTTCAGTTATTCTAACTCGTGGTAATAGATTACCATCACAGGTAATAGATTATCTCTGTTATGAATATAACTGAAATAACTGTTTCCTTGCACATGAAAATTGTCTTTAAATAAGATTAAAACTGAAGCTTTTAAAAGAGAATTTTCACACACGGAAAGAAGAGAAATACTTACACGAACAAGAGAGAATTTTTTTTTGAATACACATTACTGCAAAAGAGAAAAAGATTTTCTGAAAAAGAAAGAAAGAACATATCTGCTGAAAATCAACTTTTGGAAAAAGAAGTGTGCAAGATCAATTCAAGAAGATGAAGTTCATATAGAAAATTCATTCTAAACTGGTTTACGTTGTTGAAGATCATATCTACACGAACAGGTGTACTCGTTTCTGATCTTTTGTTATTGTTTGAATGGTTTTAACTCTTGAGATTAGAGAATCTCTGGAAGAGTTGTGTAAAGAGAAATCTTGAGATAGGTTTTTCTCAAGTAGGATATTGTGGGATCAATATTCTTGGGTTATATGTTTCTTGTGGAGTCAAGAAATGGTTTGTTAATCTTGTGGGTGTCAAGATTTGCTTGTTAAATTCATTGATTGGATATTGCTTGTGCAGGGTGCATGTAAAGAATATCAATAGTGGATTTGACTGGATTTAGAGGTGTATCTAAATCTGAAACTGGATGTAGGCCTTTGGATGGCTGAACCAGTATATATCTTGGTGCATGATTTTCTTAACTCTTACACTCTTTACATTCTGTATAAGTTTCTTGATTAATGTTGTATGAAGAAAAACATTATCTGCAGAAACTGAACTTTAAAGATTCTTGGTAATTGATAAATTCAATCTTTACATATCTTGTTATTCAAATCTTGTTGGATAAGCTGTGCATTTATAACTCTGAATTACCTTTTATGTTTAAAGGTTTGTTTTAAATCAAGATTTGTTTGGTAAAGATTTAGAAAGCAAAGAAGAAAAGGAAAAATAACATAGAATCTATTCAACCCCCCCTTCTAGATTCTAACCGTAGGGACCAACAATTGGTACCAGAGCTGTATCTTGTAAAACATTCAAGACTAGATCTTTAGAAAGGTTAGATGGCTGGTAATCAATTACCGTTTGCTGAAGGTGCTTCTATAAACAGACCCCCATTGTTTTGTGGAGATAACTATCCCTTTTGGAAAGTTAGAATGAAAATTTTCATGGAATCTGTTCATAGAAATATTTGGCAGGCTGTAATCACAGATTACAAAATACCCACTAAGATAGAGGGAGGAAAAGAAATTGAGAAACCATATGATAGCTGGGATCAAAGTGAAATTAGAAGAGCAGAGAATGATGCAAAAGCTTTAAATATCATACATTCTGCACTAAATTCTGATGAATTTTTTAGAATTTCAGCTTGTTCTACAGCAAAGGAAGCTTGGGATTTAATCCAAGTAACACATGAAGGAACTCCAGAAGTGAGAAGAGCTAGAAAGAACACACTCATTCAGGAATATGAAACCTTCAGAATGAATCAAGGTGAAACTGTCATGGATATGCAAAAGAGGTTCATTCACATAATAAATCACCTAAAAGGATTAGGGAAAGACTTCGTGGAAGAAGAAGTAAATGTCAAAATCCTGAAGTCACTAAACAGAAGATGGCAACCAACTGTCACAGCAATTA